GTCCCGGCGACGCGCCCGCCCCCCGCGGCTTCCACAGAGAAGCTGTGCTCAGCATCACGAGCGGCACACGCAGAGACGCGGGCGCAGCATTCGGAGCACAGCCGGCACCCCCCCAGACCCCCCCCACCACCACGGTGACTCGCATGCACCTGAAGCAGGGGGAGAGATGCACAGACATGTTCTTGTGGCGCTTCTCGAAGCGGTTGTACTTGCGGATGTAATGCAGGTAGTCCCGACGGATGACGATGGTGCGCTGCATCTTCATCTTGGTAACCACACCTGGGCGAGAGGCGGGGGGGACGTGACAGCAACGGGCACGAGCACGCACGCACCGACCAGCGGTGACGTGGGCTGGAGGTCTGCGCTGCAACTGAGATTTCTACAAGAGCTACCCAGGAGGATCAGCAGGGACACGCGGGGATCAACACCTGAAGGCGGGACCCTCCGGTTCCAGCAACTTCTCCTTCTTTACCTGAACAATGCCTGTAAGGCATCCTTGAGGGGTGCTTTGGGACCCTGGCTCTACCGGGATGAAAGGGCTTTCCTACCGCCAGGCTGCGACACCCAAATTCCTATTATAAACCACATTATTTCTCTTGTCTTTTTGGAACCACCCAAGCACACCGTGACACCTTTCCTAGCACCAATACTCCCCCACGCGATCGGCTGCTCTCTCACATCAACATCTGCACCACAGAAGGGCACATCTGGAAGGGTAACTGCCAGCAACTGGTCCTCTCACTGGGCATCAGCAAAGCCGTGCGGCATTGTCGTCAAAGCCCCTTCACCATGAGGCTTGGAAGACCATCGTGAGAGAATGGCATCATGTGCAGCTCAAGGACCACAGCCGGGCTTCCAGGCAGCTCCAGATCGACGCCGACAGCTCTCGTGGGCTTCGATGACTTAACCCGCTCCCGGGCAGCCATGGGATTATGCCTGTACTGTTACCCCTCACAGAACCTTCGCAACTCACCTGACAGGATTCGGCCACGGATGGAGACATTACCAGTGAAGGGACACTTCTTGTCGATGTAGGTGCCCTCGATCGCCTGCGAAGAGGAACGATGTCAGCATCTGGATGGACAAAGCGCTCGGGCAGCACCGAAGCTCACACCTACATTGGCCTACAAGCGGACCCACCCGGCGGGACCGTTGCGGCCTTTGGGGGCAGCAGCTGCGGACGCCGGGCCCGGAGAGCACGACCAGGAGGGGGGCAGCCCTGCCTGCCCGCCCGGGTCCCGCCTTACCTCCTTGGGAGTCTTGAAGCCCAAGCCGATGTTTTTGTAGTAGCGGGGCAGCTTCTCCTTGCCCCCCTCGCCCAGCAGCACCCGCTTCTTGTTCTGGAAGATGGTGGGCTGCTTCTGGTAGGCCCGCTCGGTCTGTGGGGGGAGAGACGGCAGCGTCACC